CCTGCCCTCCGCCGCAGCCCTCCGTCGTCGCCGACGCCGCCGCCACCCCCTCGCGCGCCGCCGCTCCGCGTCGCTAACACCGTCGTTCCTCCGCCTCTTCTTCCACCCCCTCCTCTCCGCTCCTCGTCCTCCTGCCGCGGCATACGCGATATACACCACCGTACCCGACACTCTCCGCGGCTCTCGGTAAGCTCCCGAGTATGAGTGCTTAATATCTTTGTGCCATACCCGAAGCGTCCGTATCCGCCGATGCTTCTTACGTCCGAACTTTCCCTTGCTCGTTCCGACCGCGGTGGCCCTCTTCGTCTGCCGCTAATTTCGCCCCTGGCCGCCGATCTTGCGCCAGCAAAAAGAGCCGCTTCGTGTTTTTACCCCGCGCGATATAACTCGCGTCTATGCTCTGAATCCGTACATTCCTCGGGGCTTGCCGGTGTACACGGTGGATTCACCGGAATCCTTCGATGACGTCTAGAATACCAACGATGTAGTTAAACGTTGAATATATCAGTTGAGAAGAGGGTGTTGATTTCAGGACAGGGTACAAACTCGACGTCACACTGTGAGCGTAGGTAGAGCCCGGGCGAGGAAGAAAACAGTGGAAGACGGAGGGTGTGTAGTTCAGTCTTTTTCCAGCGGTCAACCCCTGTGATCAGTCCTCATCGGCCCGGTGACCCAAATCCACGAGGAAAGACCCTCCGAGTTCGTAACGAGTATCTACACGTATATACACGTGTAGACGGGCTTCGCACGCGTACTCCTCCACCGCAGCTGATCCCTTGACCTCGCGCAACCCCAAACGAAACGAGACCCCCTGGGCCTAACGTTCATTGACCATCGGTGCTAGTCCGAGCAGGGGCCGATCGTCTTGCCGTTCCACTTTTCCGACAATAGCTTGTCGCCGTCGCTGTCGCCCTACGACCGATACTCGTTTCATCCGACAACCCCGATGGCCTTGCAGTGCAGCGTACTTCCACTGTCGTCCTTCGTTCACCTGAAATAGTGAAAACGTAATTTTTCATCGGACGAGAGGAACAAAAAGTTTGAGTCGTCGTTGAAAGTATAAAAGATAGCCGGCGAGAGGCGGTTCGTTACCGTGTACGATAAAGTCATTGTTTGCCGGCGATAAAGCGATCGATGCCGAGATCCAAGTCCCCCGGTTCGAGGAAGGTCGAGGATCGGTAGGGGACCGATGTTTGCCACGAACCAAACCACGTCCAATTAGTGGAATTAATACCGGTTGGCTTTGGGGGAGCTAATGCCTCTGTGTGCATACCTACGGGTATGCACGCCGATGACTGCACTTTCCTTCGTGCGTAATGAAGGACAATCCCGTCGGTCGGGCCAGCCCGATGCATACGCTCGTCCAAGCAACCGCCTGCCTCCTCTTGTTTTGCGGTCACGGGAAAATATCTCGAGCCCACGACGAGCTTACGACTTCGAGAGAGTTAGCCTGCCCGGCTGGCTAACGGTCCCCGTTGTCTTTCTGCTAGCTGCGAAACAATTTCGTTCGCGGCGATGTTCGCGTCCTGTAACGATCCTCGCTCCTTTTTCCATCGTTCCGTCGTGCACGCGTGAACAATGCTGCGCTGTTATTCAACGCCTGAACTCACCATAGAATCCTCTACGTCTACACGAAAATCTGCCTTTGTTTTTTTCTTCTCATTCCTGTTCGTTAAGGAGTACAAGAGCCGATGGAAGCAGCTGCTCTCTGTTTAATCGTCTCCTCGTTTCCATATTACAAGGAAAAACTCCAGAACACCGATTATCAATCTCGACGAGGCGGGAGCTCTGGAAATGTTCAAGTCCCTTCGATAGACGCGTCCTGGCCGATCGACGACGGGTATTTCCAAGCGAATTGCCGCGCGGCACGCATTCTTGGAGCGTTCACGGGAGTCCGGCTCACTGGCATCGTTCCTGTTACTGCTCATTGGCCACCCCGCGCCGGGTGAATTACGCGAAGCGCAAGCGGAGAGAAAACGCCTGTGCCTCTTGTGCACCGCTGTTACGTAACCCTCGTCATTGTTCGCGCGTGGACGGCACGACGGGACTGTAACGGAGAGCGCGCGCGGCAAAGGAGGGTAAACGCGCGTACCGAGAGACCGTGTTCGATAAGAGCGGGAGAAAAAAGCGCGGATTTTTGTCGGGCAGGCCTCTGCACAGGACGAAGGCATTCCGCGTCAGCCAACCGGACACGCGTCAGAAGGACTCCAATGCGCCGGAAGCGTCGCTCTTCTTGATGTCTCTGTCCGGTGTTCCGTTTACCGGGCACCGCGTACTTTCCTCCGGGTTTCTTTTCGCTCTTCACTCTCTCCCTCTCCGCTTCTCGGTTCTTTTTTCGCCTGCGTTATCGTATCATGTTATCTCGGCGCAAAGAGGAAAGAGACGAGCAAAGGGAGAGAGAGCCGAGTT